GAAGTGACGCGACCTCCACACTTCCGTGTCTAGCGCTTCTATCCACCGTAAAGGCTCATTTAGTGGATCTGGGCCTGAATTTTGCTTTTGCATTTAAATTATCAATATCATAAAATCACTAATAAGCAGTTTAGCTGTCGAATAAGAAAGTGTAACAAATTATGAACTCGCTGTTTGATGCCACACGTTTCAGCCGTTCCCGCTCGTAACGAGACGAATGTATTCGATGATCAGCCATATCCTTCCCTGTATTTTTATTTAGTTATTCAAAGAAGAACATTATATTACGGTAAGATGCAATATAGTAGCATGCAAACACAAAACACCATATTTAAATTTAAGGTCTGAATTTAATTATTCCTTCGCTTCTCATATCTCTCATGACGGTTCTAGGATTTACTCTGCCCCCAGACGCAGGAGAGAAAATCACTTTGGGTAGGTATGTTTTGCAGCCTGAAGCCTTCTTTTCCCAGCAAGTATTCATTACATATCGTCTACACTTTTTTTTACTAGATATCAGAACGTATTTGATTAATATTCCTTCAGAAATCACCATACTTCTATCTGTTTGCTTTTTCCTCAGCATGGTTGCCGACATGACTCCACCTACTTCCGAAGCTGTGCCATTGATTGGTATTTTATTGATATCTCTTACTTACTAAAGCAAACGCAACTGCCAAAGTTACCATGAAAAGATGTAGAAAACTAGCCGTCATTTCGATAATGCAGCTCACGTCAGTGGGGGTTGCAAGTGGATCTCATGCCTTGCAAATACTCTCTATTTCGGAATACCAGAAGAGCGTCGTGTGCGGACTGTACATCACAACTGACGACAGACAAAAAGAAAAAGATTTTTAGGCTTTTTCTTTTCTTCTTCTAGGACGCCGTACCTTGTGGTTTGTGGTGTGCATTCGACGCGCTTCTCATTTTTAGAAAAAAGAGGGTGGACAGCGGATCGCCTTCGTTGGTATTAGGTGCACTTCGGGACATTGAATCAAACCTCCACACAAATATTGTTCCTGACTCACAACCTCAGAAATGGGCCCACTCGACGCTTCGAAACGCTTGTAAAGGAAGTTCGGGGTTCAGGACTACTATCAGCGCCTGCTCAAGGATAAGTGTTTTCATTGTGCCTGTCTTCAGTTTCTCACTCTCTGTTTCTTGTGCTTTCGTCCGGGTACCTTACAGGAAGCCCGTCGCGCGGTAAGAAGGCAGAGGCATTCGCAGCGCGCGATGTGCGATATAGGGGCGTACAATAGTACATTCGATTTAACTTAATGCAAAATCTCTACGCGCGCCAATTCATCCGCTGACTTTGCCTTCTTGCCGCGCGACGGGCCTCCTGTCGGGCAGCCCTCTTGTCCAGTTCTGTTTGCCTCCCAGTCTCTTTCGGCACCCAGGAAGACAAGTGCTTCAAAAGTACGCTTCAGGATCAAATTATTGTGGTTTCTGCACACGAAAATGAAAGCGTTGTGTAGAGTTGGTCGACATAAACAAAAAATGAAATGAGCGGTCGAACAATCCAAAGTCAGGAGGCTGTCATTTTTGTGCTAATGCAATGAGAGACTGAGCACGTTGGAGAGAGGATAGGCGAGGGGGCACAACAATCAGATGGAGAACTGACAACAGCATACGGTGGGCGACAAAGGCGGAAGCGATTGAAGCGGTCTTTGCAAGGTTTTAGCGCCCTTGTTCCGCTCTTTAGAGCCGGGCATCTGCCACTTTCGTAAATGGCTTTCCTTTCCACTTAAAGGATCTGAATAGTTCTGGATATGGAGAGCTGCCAAAACCCACCTTCTACTTTCTTCTCTTCAGTAATTCGTTGAAAATTTTGAGTGTTGTACTCGAGTGAAGGAGCTCCCATTGTTCCAGTGAAGTATACTTTGGACTATATTTCTCTTCTGTGAGGTCCCACTGGCCTACAACTTTCCACAAAAACCTAAATGCGTCCCTTTTCTGGAGGTTGCAGAAAATCCAGTTTTATAATATTCAAAGTTATTGGGCTCAAAAATGTTGTTTCAGGTGCATTTTTCTCATGTTGTATGTTGGTGGTCTCGGCATCAGTTGTATTCACCGTACTCGTTCTCAACCTGCACAACAGAAAACCAGAAACTCATGAAATGAGCCCATTTGTGAGTTATCTAAGCTGTACTCTATAACGTGAATGATTTCACGTGCTCAGTGGACCCATCTGCGGAAAGGACTGTGATTTGGCGAACGATTGGCTCCCTTATTTCTGAAGCTCTTTTATAGTTATGGAGAGAATGTTGAACCCAGACTTCATTGTATTCCGAAGCGGGTATCAACCCGAGGTTATGCATTCAAAACTCAGATATTGTTCACAAGAATGTTGGGTCATGGGCAAAACTCTTCTTCCCTAGCGGAAACCGAACTCACACCCCGGTTTCGGGCAATAGTGCTAGCGAATACACCAGCGGGATACCGCTCCACTATCCCATCTCTCGATAGTATGTTAACCATAGCTTATCAGCTCTCACCCGTGTGAGCCATGTTAGCCACATGAGCGGGTTAGCCAGTAGGCAGTGAAACCTTTAGAAGATATTAACGCTGACTTGTTTTTGATTGATAACTGCGGTTGTCCACTTTTCGATTTATGAAAGTTCCACAAGAATGCTGGGTTATTATTTGAAAATGGTCATGGGTGCTCCTGGAAAAAGGCTTCCGCGTTCTACGAGTTCGAGTAAACAGTTATAGGGAAAGTATGCACCCACTCAAGAGCCTATTTTTGATTGCTTCGACATACCCTCCTCTTCAAAAAGAGAGAAAGTGTCGGGTGCAGACCATGCACCACAAATGACGACGGCCTTCACAAAATGTTAACGTTTTCTGCCAATGAAATGATTAGCCTGCTGCACTTGTATTCTATCGACTGTCACTAATTACAACTATCATTTACCAGAAATCAGCTATCACTATGAACGGCCTATTCTAGCCAGGTTTACTTGGAGACGGTCGTCAGTTGTAGTGTTTGGTCTGCACCTGACACTTTCTCGCTTTTTGAAGGGAGGTTACGTAAGGAAACTGTCTCTATGAGCAGCTACCTTTGATATTGCAGTTACGAGAGTGCTTATTGATCTGGCTCCCATGGATTCTTATGATGCGCCGCCCTGGCACCACTGTATTCAATCGTCGAGAAATAAAAGTAAGTTATCCAAAGAAGGTTTCCTTTTTTCGACAACTGCATTGGTAAAGTGCTTCTCTGGTTCACATAGACCGGAAATATCTCAAATGCGCTTTCGGCTCGCTTCTTTGGATACTTCTAGAAAGTAGGTTGAGATTTACACTGGGCATTACTTTGGGTCCCTAGACAGCATTCAATCACGAGCTATGGATATTTCAAAGGAGGAAACATCAGAGATTCTTCTTTCTATTTGTCATGCAAGCCAATGCTATGACTGGTGCGGCGGCTAGGATTGGTATGGTTTCGGCTGCTCAATGGCTCTCTTCGCTAAATAAACCGCAGAGCACGCTGGCGATACATTTTGCCGTTGCCTGAGTATAGGGTATGATGCCTTGCGGGGCGCACTATGAACTCATATATGTAGAAGTCAGGAGTACTTGGAAGGCGACTTACTATTCAAAGTTTAGTCTTCTTTTTCTTATTCTTCAGCGTTTGTCCCACCCTGTGGCGGGGTCACCACCTCAGGCGAGCTTCGCGCATCTTATCAGCGATGGGAGCTACACCGAACCGCTTTCTGACGGTATCGTTGCGAATATGGTCCGAACGCGGGACCCCGGCAATCCAGCGCAGCATTTTTGTCTCCATTACACTGAGACGAGCCTCAGCCTCTTTAGTCAGGGGCACTGCTCCGTAAATGGCGACTGGTCGGACGACGGTTCTGAAGATCTTAGATTTCAGTCGCTCTGGCATTTTCTTATCGCAGAGAACGCCGGTCATCGAACGCCACTTGGACCAAGCTGCACTCACTTATTATTCAATGTTTAGTATTCATTTATTATAACCTTTGAGGCGAGAAAGGCCGAAGACATGGCGAAGAGAACAGAAACGCGAAATGGTCGATCTACAGAGGGAGTCATGACGGCGACCGACAGTCTTACACTCATCAGAAGTATACGAGCTGGAAAAAATGATCATCAGAATATCGAACTGGGACATCTAACAACTGGTTCGTTGTTAAATATGGCTTCGAAAAAGAAACGCTTCGGAAGAATTTTATTGAAAAATCTATCAAGCAGAAGACAAGGAAAACTCCAAAAGATTTATTCACTGTAGAGCCTTGCTATTGCAGGATTTGATATAGGGCCAGCCTTCAGTCATGATAGAGATGGGGAGCACTTGGTAAATGAAAGAGGCAGGAAGCACAGAGACTAGCGAGACAATTTGACATCCACAAGAGAGAGCTATGAAGAACAGGATTTGGAAGGCTCGCATCTGCGAGTTGTAACTCCAGACGAGTGCATGGCCCATCCCAGTAGCATTACTACAGATAACTCGTGTTTAGCGTGCCCGAGCTAAAGGATCTCTGAGAAAAGAACCCGAGGCTCTGAGACTAATCCAAAGTGCAACAAAATTCATGAATTCGACGAAAACTGAAAACCTAGGAGAATATTTTGGGAGAAGAAAGCCTTTTATGTAAAGAACTAGTAAGCAGAGGTCTCTCATGCATATCTCAATTAAAGTAGAGTCAGCGAACGTTTGTGGAGCCCTGGTGAACATCTCGCCTTTAACGGCTTCAACCCTCTCCCGGAAAACGGAAGTTTAGGAAGTTTTGACAAACTGAAAGTTCAAAACCAGCAGTTTGAAACAATAGCCAAAAAGACTTATTTTTAGAAAAATAGGACAACAAATTATAGTATTTTCTAATGGTGGTTATTTGTGTTTCTTGAAATTAGTACGCTTTACGAGAATGACCTCAAGCAATCATTCAGGTGATCCACCATGGAGAGAAATGCCCATAATAGCATTGCCAAACGTCGCTTATTCGGAATCAAACAAGGGTCACAGAAGAACCACCGGTCATACAAAACAAGCGCTACGATTCAGATGCAAAGACAAATCCAACGTAATTTTTTCCCTGTACTCACGAATAAAAATAAAGAGCTTTTGGCTTGATGTCTGCTCAGAATAGGAAAAAACGTTCTGAATAAGACCATGTTTTTTTTTCGGATTGAACGAACTCACTTGTTTGCTTCTTGCATCTAACCGTGTCTCATTCCGTCTGGAACACTGCCTGGAAGTGAACAGTGCATGCAAAAAGCATGTCTGCGACTGAAAACGATTGCTCCCCTGGGTCAGATCATAGATTCATGGCGACAACGAACTGAGGAAGATACTAGGGTAAGCGCTCCGCGAGCGATCCACCACTGCCCCAGCGCAAGCCATAAGCCTTGTTGTCTCTTTTGTTTAATCTCTTACCGAGCGAGGACGGAAGTGGGGTAGTAACTAAGTGGAGCATTTACCACGCGGAGCCGGTCCGGGCTCAAAATCCTGGGTCGTAGTGCGCCCTGGCCAACTAAAGCCGTCCATCGCCCTCCGGGGTCGTTAAGGTTGTACCAGACTTGTCCTGGGAGGATAAAAACTGACTTGTACATCGGCTGGCCCCCCGCAACGTCATGTGTATAGGCCACATCGCAGTTCAGAACAGCCTCCTCGAATGTACCAAATGGAAGTAGCATGCGTGCGCATTCCGCAGAAAAGGGGATTGATCAACGGCAGTAAGAATGCTTTAGTAGCTTATTTCATTAACGAGCGTGAGCGCTTAGAGGCCTGCAGTAGGCTTGAAATCATGGGAGCTTGGTCGTTTCCTTGGTTCAAGTTGAAGAGGCAATGAATGGAGTAAGTCCAACGCCATTGAGTTTTTTTCGAAAAATGACAAGTGCTGAATGAGGAATACGTGTTTTATGGTGGAAGTATAATGATGTGCAAGTAAAAAAGACGTTGCTGAAGGTTTTGTGGTGATGCCGATATGTTGTTGGGCCTTAGGCCGTAGAATTACGAGTGAAATTATTCAAAAACACGAAGCTGGAGGGAGGAAACACAGCTCATTTTAAACACCTTGAGCCCATGCAGCCCATATCTGGGCTGCATTCTCCCACATAAGCCCTGTGACCACGTAAGCTTACAGCCCCGATTTGCGGGGCAAGATACTGAAGTTTGCCTTCGGTTTCCCTTCTCCCATTTATCGAAAGAGTTTTTGTCTGCGTCATACAGGTAAGCTTTCCATTCTTCAACGTGCATTAATTAAGTTTCCAAAATTTCACTCAAAAAGTCGCGGCACGCGGGCGCACAAAGCTGCAAAAGCCGTGTTAATTAGTTAGAGATAGTCAGTGGTGCACTATGGAAAAAAGCGAAAAAGAAGGCTTAGAACACGGAAAATCTCCTTCACGCCCGTTGATTAGTACTAGATCGCCGAAGGCATATCCTTCTATGCGGATCGCGTGTCGATCTGCACCCTTGTGTTAGAGAGAAGCTGAATGTTAGATAGTTGTCAGACTTTGTGGTCTCAGTCGCGCGAGCGAGTAAGGGGTGCATAATGCAGATCATACGGATCAATGAGCCCCGATCGCAATTGTAATCGCGTACTAGTCTGCCACCTTGTCGGGACGCAGAACACAATGGAGCGGTTTCCCAACTCCATTCCCAGCGTTTTGGTTGCAGTCTCGGTTGCTGTAAATAATGTGTCTTTAGGACGAGCAAGCAGAAAACGATTGGAAATTCGCTGCGATGGTTGTGGATCGATTATGTCTATTTATTTTCACCATATTCATTGTTGTTTCAACATGCGGTATCATGTTCAGCTCGCCACATCTGATCGCTTGATACCTGTGTAAGAGATATTGCAAAAAAATAAACTTTTTATAACATGTGGTACTTAGCCTAGTATAAACAAAACATAGGGCTGTCCGATGTTGTCAGCATCACTGTATTACGTACTCTACGTGAGCAACAACAATGTATTATTAAATTCACAAAACATCATAATCTCAATGAAACAATCTCATAGGAACAATTATTGCACATAGTGAAATAAAAATCAGTCGGAACGAAGAAAATCAGAGAGCAAAACAAAGGCAAGAAATATGGCTGATTTGAGCTGGATCTTTTCATTTCTGCGTGATCATTTCTAGCACAGAGGTCGTACATCCTTGAGTGAACCCTCTGGTTCTACCATACCCAAGTCATCTATAGCGCATGCACCTTGGTTTGTTCGCGTGTTTTCGCAGAGGAAAATCACCTGCAATTATTCTTCATTATACCGAACCTGATTCAGTGCATTTATGATTTTTCACCAAAAAATATTGAGATCGCCTTGTGGCTGGAGTCGACCATAATAAATTTCGCGTTACTGGGTCCAATCTGCGGACGTTAATCACCACACTATCTATGCAGTGTTTGCAAACTGGTGTCGAGATTATCACTATGCAACAAGCGCTGGCCCAATAGTAAATCGGTTTACCACAAAAAACCACTGCGTGAGACGTCACTATGTTAAAAGCAAGATTTGCATTGAAATTCCACAGATAAGAGCACATAATGGATAAGAGTGGTCCCTGTTACTGCTTACTGCTACTCATCAATAATGATGACAAGGTAGAAATCGCATATTGAACTTAGATAATTCACTGGTTTTAGTTGTTGTGAAAAAGCTAAAATTTCAAAGACTCTTCATTCCCAGAACGTGAGTTCTTTCTGGTTAGTTGAAAATGCACTTTTCTCTGGATTAAACATGGATGAAAAGCTTTTATACATAAAAATTCAGGGTAACAGTTTTTGCGGAAAGAACAGCGCTAAGGCCGATGTCATAGTTTGCGAATCGAGCGATTCGCTAGCGAATTGCTGGATCCAAGCGTTACACCAGCGAATCGAGCTTGGCGCCAGCGAGTCGAGTGATGTAGCAGCTAGTTGAACTAGGTACCAGCGATTCAATAGTGGCGGGACCCAACGTTCAGAGAAGTCCCGCCACTTTCATACAGTGTCGATTGATAGTGGACGCTGTTTGTGGTGGGACATGACAGTGTTAACCTTTAACCACTTATTTCAGCTCCCAAATACGGCATGTGGCATGCTTTCCATAACTCCGTCGCTTGATCGAAGCCATGCGGTCAGTGCAAATAATACGGTATTCGTTAAGTTATTTCCCCTCTTTCTTACTAACTATTGAAATCTTTCAAAAAGACACTCCCTGAAAAGAAATATTGCTAACCTTATCCGTTCCTTTCGGACATCGGAAACTGGCCGTCTTCCATACGCGATCAGACACGCTAACAAATTTGTCGGAACTGAACGGACACGTTTCTATAGAGCTGCAGCAACCTGAAACAGGGAAACTTGATCATGAATGATTTGGAAGTGAGTAAATCCAGGAAAGTTCTTCTCGTTAAACTTTGATAATTTCATCAAATTGATCTATCGAGTTTGTGGTGGCGTTTGGTGTCGAATATAATGCGCATATTCCAAAGAGCAAAGCTGTAAAGCAATTCTCCACAGGTTATGTGAGCCTTCCTTCACGATCAGTGTTGAGATGATCGCCGCCACCTGTCCAAAGGATCACTCAATGACTTGTGCTCCCAGTTCTCCTCTCAAACCACTCTAGAACTTGTCTTAATCGCAGCCTTTAACCAGAATGCCGAGTTTTAGGTAAAACTCATCGCCTCTACTGAGCCTAATGCGGCTACTTTCACAGCGTGGGTTCTCAGGCCTCGTGCTTGTCTGGTCAGCCCAGAGTTCACCTCTAAAATACTACAGTAACTGAATCGCTCTCTTTCGATGAATGAATTCACAAGTCAATAAGTCCACTTGAGCTTGCTGTCTTGAGTTCTAGCTACTAAGTGATGAAGCACACCTCTCAAATTAGTGTCGTTACCCTTCTGCGAGTAAAATTAGCAGCAGTTTTCCAATTAGAATGATTTCTCTTCGAATCAAATTATGATTTTTGTTGTAATTGTTACTACCTACCTTTCAGTTGGACACCATGTGTTCCTTCGTAGTACTGGAAGCGTAATCGGGATTTTTCGGTGAATGGTTCCGTTGATGCTTCAAGGCCGGCCATTTCACGTGGGAACAGGAACGTGGCCGCGTAGAAGTCGCCTTCTAGAAAAAGGAAGTTTGGAAAAAAATTCTCATCATGTTCAGTATGCTCAATGGTTCTTATGGCAGCGAAGTTAAGGTGGAACATACAAAACGGTTCAGAATTGAAAGTATTTCGACTAAGCTGGTATTTACCACTGCTCTCTTTCACGCCAGTCACTCTGTTCATGAATTGTCCGTTAACAACTTGGAATTTCGTAGTTAGTCCACGAATCGATTGCGATTGATAAGCGTCCTTGTAGTGGCATGTGTTTCCTGAAATGATCCCCATAATTTAGTTAAAACGCAAATATTTTTGACAGGAACTGAAATTAGTTGGAGAATTGAAAGATCGGATACCGTTTTCGAAGTCGCACTTGGTTGCAGAGCAAATCGTTTCACTGAATTTCTGTGTCTTTGTTCCTTTAGCATGGTTTTGCCCACTAGACCTGAAACACGAAAAAATTTGGTAAGAAATACGGTAGACGGGATTTGGAGGTGAATTAAAGGGTGAAGAGAATCCACTTACGTTTTCGTGCTCTTGATCACAGCCTCCTCGATCTCTTCTTTTGTAACCTGTTTCTGTGAACCGAGTGAGTGACCTCCCTTAAAATATTAAGACAATATTAAATTAAAAAGTACAGGCCAAAAACCAACCATCCAACCTGGTCACCCAGTTTTTTTGAAAACACATATTTTCGTCAGAGATTATTTTCATATTTTCACCGCTTCAATTTGTCACTTCTTCTTCCTCACACTTGAGGGGATCTTGAGGGAAAGCATAGTGAAATAGGTCAAGTCGATGTATGGTCTTGCCTTGAATCCTCCTTCTCCGAAGCGTTCGGCGCCCGATTTCGCACTTGAACCTTCACCAGCCGATGCGAGCTTCTCTCGTAACGCCTTGCCGCTCTTCTCGCTCGACTTGACCGCAGTCTCGAATTTGTTCTGAGAATAGATACGGATTGGAAAGGTGCACCCGGATTTCTATATTAACCCTTAATCGGGACTTCTGATGAGCGGAGCACCGCTAAACTTTCAATCACTCAATTTTGACAGATATAATGTAACAATAAAGATAAATATAAATCTATTTGTATTAATTGATATATATGAGTATTTATGTGAAGTTTAGTACAGTACCTTGCGTAATTCATGCAATTATACAATAGAACTTGATACAAGAATATAACGTGTATAATTTTATAAGCCTTCAAATCATCAAAGAGGAAGTCAGTGTGTGGACGAAATTAGGCGCCCGGAGCTTCCCTAACCCATGTCATAATTCGAATCAGAAAAAAGAAGGAAAGAGCAAATGAACGAATTGAAGGAACGAAGAGAATAGCACGTAGCAAACAAAGGAAGAAGAAGCAAGAAAACATCACTATGTCCACACAAGTCTTATGTATGTAAGGCCATTGGTAGAGTCCAGCGCTACAGTATTCAACCCCTTCAAAAAAAAACGCACCTATGCACTTGAAAAAGTTCATACTAATTTTACCCGTAAGCTGTTCGTCAGAATGGGAGGATTTGAATACTACCTCCAATACACTGCGTTTCATAATTATAGGTCCACCCTAAATTTTTGTTATTCTAATGTTGCTGTGCATTTTTGGAAAATGCCGCTATCATCAATGATTTCCCCATAACGAAAACCTTGATACTCGATTTCTGGGAAAATCTCAATTCAGAATTATTGAAATATCTTTTCAGAACGTATTTTCACCGTTTCGCAAGTATGACTACACATTACTTAACAAAAAAAAACGTCACAAATTTTCAACACTGGGATGTACTCCATTAATCATAGGGAACCCAATAATACGTTTTAAAATGCTGGTAACCAAATTAGCTATTACATTAGGATCGAAATTTGTCTGTGCGCCGATGATTGACGTTTTCAGCTCTTCGGCTGTCCCATTTTGCTTTACTTTGCTGTTAAACTTTTTGCAATAGAGGCCCAATGATATACCATTGGAATCTGATTTAGATAGCATGGTTGCCACTAGATAGCTGCCATACTTTTTCCTGCACTCCCATCTGGCGTGGAAGGAACGGCATGGACAGCTACGTTATCGTGCGTAAAAATCAGGATAGAGGAAACAGTTGTCGAAAAATGGTAAAATTCACTTCAAAAGAACTACAGGATACCCTATGGAATTCTCGCGAAAGGAAACAAAAGCGAACTCTAGCCGCTCACTCGTTCGAAGGGGCCTCAAACCATAAGGGATTCTCCGCCGAAATTATGTTACATTTAAACTATCTGCGATATTCACGGGACTCTCCTGTACCCTATTTTTCTATCAGATCCACCTAGAGTAAACTTTTTCATGTCGATCCCAGATTACCTGTATCATGAAACAAGTAGGTAGAGTCCAATATCGCGAAGGGTCTTAGCAGCCATACCTTCCTTCAATTGATTGTGGCGTTTTCCATTTCCGTTTTTTTGGAGACGTGCGATTTTGTAGTGCTCCTAATATCTTGGAACGCACTTCATCAATCCTTAGAAGATGTTATCGCTGAGCTGGCTCACCCATCACACAATGATTTAACTCACAAAACGCTGCATATCAGCACAGACTTTATTCAGACTCCTTGTACAATTTGACAGAAGACGCCCAATTCCTCTTGAATCCAGAGTGAAAAGTAGCCTTTATCAACCAGAACTACTCCTCTTTCCGCACTGACCAGGATTTCGCACATACGTAGTTGCTTATGCAACATGACCCGGCCGACATGGGACGCAGTTCTGCTCC